AGGGTGAATACATCTCATTACAATGATTTACTGGTAGTCTCGAAACCCTACTTTCTTACGAATATAAGAATTTGTGGCCTTTAATTTAGTCGCAGTCCCCTTACGCTGAATAGAAGTGATTTGATCTAGTTTGTGTAATTCGGAAATATATCAAGTCCACGCTACGATATGAAGATTATCATTAATATTATGGCAGAGAACTACGTACAAAATTCATTGATCAAAATTGCCCTAACGTTTCGATAAAGTTTCGCATACGAGGTGAAGCCATTCATAAATTGTTTAAACTCTCAAAATTCGTCAAGGATCATATCTTAATATTTTTCTTATAAAAGATAATTGAGAAAAAATCATTTCCAACTTTTATTAATAGCAAAACTAAATACTTATATTAAAGATTAAGGAGGTATAAAGATTAATCTATAAATATTTCCTTTCCCCAAAGGGCAAGGAAAGAGGCTCATTTGATTTAAATGAGTTAGGATTCGATTTATAAAACTACCTACCAATATGAACGAGTTGCGAAAACAAGGTCAAACAACTTCTAAAAATTGGTATTTCACAGTTATACATGCAATCACATACTCTAAAATAATATTCTATTAGGTACACCAGCATAAAGGGCATTTGTCCACACACCATGCGCAGAATAGGACAAATTTCTGTCAGATCTTTACCACCCTTACTTATCCAAACGAAACTGTGAGACAATAAGATGCACACTAAAATAACCAAGGAAATAGAGGAAATTTCATAAAGATAAATAATGGGGTTATGGGAGATTTTGAATTAATAATGCTGAAAATATTAGGAAATTTGGTGTTAAGGGTAAAAACGTATTTCTCGGTAAATTAGGCATTGATAGTTGACTTTACCACAGTAAAAGTAAGAGAACATCTTGGTTTTGCATTACAATTTTACTACGCCTTCTACCCAAAAATGGAATTTAATTGATGCTCTACTGCATTTTCGATCTTGTTTGAACTTACGGATCGTACATTGCATTTTGTAAAGTGCGCATTTACAAAACTCATGCCAAAAATAAAGACAAATACGATTAATCCTTCTTCGGTTTCAGTTGAGACCAGCCTGTGTAACAATTCCACCAATTGTTGCATATAAAACAAAACGTCCACAAACGATAAATCCCATCTGACACTAATTGATTTGCTTATTTCGATATTTAGTTCAATTACAAGGATAATTTGGTCAGCCGTATATGATTGAAATCTGCCCCGGTTTCAATCACCCATCTCTATTTGGCAACTTCCAAAAATACTCACCTGCTCTAGCTAGTTCGCGGTTGCATAAGCACGTTGAGGTCAAAAAGAATTCATCTCCCGATTGGCCTGTGGCTTCTGGAACGATTGGCCCCTTAGAACTAGCTAAGGAAGGCATTAATCGAAGACTTGCTGGGTGAGTTTGTGGGGCTCTCCCAAAAGCATCATCAATATCTCCTTCGTTGGCGGTATCCTTCTTTACTGCTTCCTGACCTCCTAATATGCTATCTTCTGGGTTCAAGTCGAAGTCCTTAGTTATGCACTGATTCTCAGCAGAAAGGTCTGGCGTTAATAAAAGTCCAGCAAGATCACGCAGTACCTCTGCGATCATATCGAAAAGCCACACTGGATCGAGGCAAACGAGATGCGAGTCTCGAAAGTGCACCAGAACTCCGGTGGCATGGAAATAAGCCAGCGCGGCGCGGGCCTCCTGGGAAGACTCGAAACCACGACCGAGAGCACCGGCTATTGCCGACCCCGAACAATGAGGTCCAGAGTGATGTGAGCTCGATTTGCTAGCTCCAGCCAAGGAGGAAAAAGCTGGAGAAGCCTTTAAAGATGTTAAACTTTGACTGTCACCGGTGCCTGAGTGGGA